TAAATAATTCGTAGTTTTAGGGGAGAAATTTGAGAGTCGGGACACCTTTTTTTTAAAAAATAGTATTTTAAGGTAATTAAAAATATTTTATGTATTATTATTATTTTTAAATAGTTTATTATTTTTTAAATTTTATGTGTACGAGTGTATTGCCTGCATGTATGTGAGTGCACCCGTGTCATGCAATGCTGTGGAAGTCATAAGAGGGCTTCGGATTCCTCTGGAACTGGAGTTAAGGATGGTTCATAGCCACCATGTGGATGCTGGAATTGAGCCCGGGTCTTCTCCAAGAGCAGTCAGTGCTCTTAACCACTGAGCCATCTCCCCAGCCCCTATTATTTTTATTTTATGTGTATGCATGTATTGCCTGCACGTTGGTAAGTGCACCTGTGTTGTGCAATGCCTGCAGATGACAGAAGAGGCTGTCGGAGTCCCTGGAACTGGAGTTACAGACAGTTGTTAGCTGCGATGTGGGTGCTGGGATTCGAACCCTTGTCTTCTTCAAGAACAACCAGTGTTCTTAACGGCTGAGCCATCTCTCTAGCCCTGAGTCAGGACATGTTTTAAATTTTTTTTGATTATTTTAATTTTATGTTTATGAGTGTTTGCCTGCATGTATATAAGTGTACTTCTGTTGTACAATGCCAGGAGAGCGCAGAATTACAGTCAGTTTGCCACCATGTCTTTTCTTTCTGGTCATAACTTAATTGTTTACCATTGTTCTATGTCTGCTAGGCTGATGGGACTAGTTGGAAGAAATAACATTGCTCAGCTACATTAAGCTACTCATCACATATACTAACACCCTCACTGTGCTGTCTTAGAAAAACAAGAAGACCAAAAAAAAAAAAAAGAAGCCGGGTAGTGGTGCACACCTTTAATCCCAGCACTCGGGAGGCAGAGTCAGGCAGATCTTTGTGAGTTCAAGGCCAGCCTGGTCTACATAGTGAGTTCCAGGACAGCTGGGGCTACAGGGAGACCTTGTCTCAAAAACAAGAAGACATAAAGAGATTTGAACCTCACCTGTTTTCATCGTGGTAATAAGGAAGACAGGAAAGATTTTAGACAGACTGGGGAATTGTGTCTTTCTTGAAAACAAGGCAGATTAATACCTTGTATTTCTCCAGTCACTGGGGACTGAATCAGAGTAGTGAGTTTAGTAAAACTAATCAAGCCTTTACCTAGAACTCTATTTTTATCTTTTGCTCTTGTGTAAACCTCATGTTACTTTATCTTTTGGTTTTAGAAAGGGCTCAGAACCATTGTTACTCTACTCAGCAGTATAGGGGTTTGAGAATATGCAACGCCATTTGTCCCTACCAAATGCTTTTATTGTTTCTCTGTTTCTTTGTTTTTTCTCCCTTTGGTTTCTCCTGTGTTCACATTAGCATATCTTTCTGATTTGTGTCAGTTTGCCTCTTTCTAATTTGCTGCTTAGGTTTATTTGCATTAAAAGACCTTCTTTGTCACTCCTCTAGGAAGTCATGTCTTGTACATGTGTGCATGCATATGTGCTTGCTTGCTTATTTATTTATTTACTTGCTTATATTTGGTGCTGTGGATTGAATCCAGGGCCTTGTAAATGCAAAGTGCACTCAAGCACTGAGCCACACTCTTAGTCCCTATCCATTCTTCTGGTCACCAGACCTGGCTTGCATTGTTGCAGCTTCATTTCCATTGCTGGCACCTTTTCTCATCATTTTCTTTTTAAAGTGCCCCTGGTTTCCTGTCCTGTCCCATGTGCTTTATATTGTCTACATTCCTGATTGAGGTAGAATTGCGGGAAAAATTATCCTTATAATATTGCAATAATGCTCTGTGGAAGAATTAGAAAGTAAGATGGGATGGAGAGGGAATGTATTTACAATTCAATGGAAATTATCAAGTGCTGTTTTTATTTGTTTATTTGAGAAGAGTTTTCACCATGTAGCTCAGGCTGGCTTAGAACTCATACAGCTCCTGCCTCAACTTCCCAAGTACTGGTACTGGAGGTGTGTGCCATCATGCTGGGCCTGATTGTCTTTTGAAAAACTCTTTCCAGGGTCAGTGAATGCTTTTGTGCTTTGATGTGAAAGGAGGCTGCTTGTGTGATGCTGGACAGGCCATCTATGATATTTGCAGGGAAGGGGAACTGGGATGAGAATGTGGGTGTTGTGGGAAACATACTATGCCTGACAAAGTGCTTCAGCAGATAGTGGATACCAATGGGACACTGACTAGAAGGAAATTGTGTTCTTGGGTTTAAGCATTTGTTCTCCCTTGAAGAATTCAGGCTTGGCCAGATGGATCTTTCCCAGCACACAATTAGATGTTATTTTTCTTCCTCTTGTTCACTTTCCTGGGAAAGAAGTGGTATGCTCTTCAGGGCCTGGCACCAGAAAGCAGTCTGAGCCAGGAGCCATAAAGCTGTCATTTGGGAAGCATTAAAAAATGTACTGTTTATGGTTTTTAACCTTAGGTTCTTGGACCTCTAAAGCAGTGCCTTTTAAGCTTTTTGGATCCTTTATCTTAAAAATTATTGAGGACACTTGAGAGCTTTGGTTTATGTGGGTCAATATTTACTGTTTAGAAACTGAAACAGAAAAGTTTAAAGCCCTAGAACACTCAAGTGCATATCCCACTAGCTGTCAGCATGATGGAGACAGTGTGTTTCATGTGGCCTCTGGAACGCTCTGCTATAACTGGAGAGATAATAAGAGTGAAAAGCCATTACCATCTTAGTGTTGCTATAAAAATATTCTTGACTTGTGAATCCCCTCAAAGTGTTTTGGAAAGACCAAGGGTCATCAGTTCACACATTGAGGACTTTGCTTATGGGCCTATGAGTAGAATTCAGGAGATTTGAGATCTTGGATGGGTAAAAATTGAATTGTGTCTTTATTTTCACTTATTTCCAACAAGAACCTATTATCCTTCCATTACCAATATAGACATTCTGAATCCATCAGGGGTGCTGTGACTTTGTTACCATTAGATCTCACAGATATGTTCATAGTCTATTTAATTTTTACAGATATCTTGTTACTCAGATATCTGTTGCCTCAGGTTATTGTTCTCATGGAATTGGCTTGGTTGGAGTACTAGTTAATACTGCTGAGGTCCTGACAAGTCTGCTTAAGGACCTAATTAAGGTGTGTAATGTTAAGAGGCTGGTAGTGGTATAGGTTGCTTCCCTGTCTTGTTTTCACATGAATCCTGCAGTGAAGTGTGCTGTGGTCTGTGCTGGAATAGGTAACTAACTGATGCTTCAGCCTTCAATGTTGGACTCTAGCTGAGGAGCTAGTCTTTTT